TAAAGGTCGATTCAGACACATCAGTCACGTCTCGTCACCATCTCGTCACAGTGATTGCGCCGAATCGAACAATCCGTCATACAAAATATTCTTTAATACAAATATGGCGCTGGCATTCACACTCATCAGTTGACGAACAGTTTGCCAGCTGTCAGATAGTTGATAGTTCTGTGATCAAACAGGACCGGTTCGGTACCGTGACTGTGACGTGACTGATGTGTGTGAATCGACCTTAAGTATTCACCAACTACGAGTGACTTCACTGACAATTATTTCATACTGCGGGTTTAATCTATTACAAATATAACTATCAAGAGATTTGATTGTACTTCTTATCTTCACAAAGTAAACAAACACTACTATCGCTGTAGAATCTCCCAAACGAAAAACATGACAATAAAACGGTTTTCTATCCGGAACAAAAGAAACGTTAAAAGATGAAAAGAAATTAAAAAAAGAAAACCAGAAACTTTTGTTGTCTGAAAACGTCGTCAGTAAATAAGTGAAGGAGGTGATGCTGAGTGATTAAAAGTTGTGGACTTTTAGAACTGGGAGTAGTAGATAGATAACGAGTTTTAGCTAAATGGGTTCTTTACGAAAATCTATAAAAGTGCAGTTTATTGAAAAATAATTTTAAAATTAAACTTAAAGACGATCCATCCATTATTCACGTATTATTTTTTTATATTTCGTCTTCTTCCTACTCACAGAAACTAAATCGATGAACTTTAGCTGCCTGTCCATACACAACAGCTTACATCGAACAAAGACAGCCATAGGATGATGGTCGGTTGATTGATTCACCCACTGAGAATTAAGTTTTGTTTTGACAGCGTTTATAATAATTTTATAAATTATTTTCCTGTTATTTTAATATTTAATCTTTTTTCGTAATTTGAATATACGTATTTTTAACAAACAGTTGTTCTAACGACTAATCGTTACCTTTATGTTCGATTCATTAGAGTAGAAATTTATTTATTAGCTATTGACGAATAAAATAATATTTGAACTTTGATCAAATGAAAGGCAGATATCGGGCACAGTTTTATTAATTAAATCTTGCCCATGTACTTTCGCTTCCTAGAGCATATTCAGGATCATTTCGTCAATTACCGTCAATTACTCTAGGAAGCGAAAGTACTTGGACAAGATTTAATTAATAAACTGTGCTCGATATCGGCCTTTCATTTGATCAAAGTTCATTTAGTCGAGCATTCAACCTTATATCAATATAATATTTATTCTAACCTCTAAATTGAGATTTATTTATTTAAATATGGCTAGTTTTAAAGAGCAAAGAGTTTTATTTTTAGATAATGCCTGGTAAGCCATTTAATTCTCAAGCACAACTTAATGAGGAAAGAGGCAAAATCAGCTGCTGGGACATGGATCATACGAAATCTCAAGAAAACCAAAATCGGCATTACCCAATGATAAAAGATTAACCCCCCTCGCAAAAGAGTTTCTAAAAAAATAATAAGCTTTAACGAGCAGACTAAATCATACAGCAGCGTGACAAAAGTATGTATTCAAAAATGATTTTAGTTGTTCTTAAAAGATTATCGATGAAAAGTTTCGACGAAATAGAAAATTTCAAAATTTAGTAAAAAGTTTTACTGAATATATTTTGAAAAGGACAATAATTCTTCTTCTTATTCTTCCTTCTTGTATATAAGCTTTAAACCCTCTTTCTCCTTGGCCTCCTTCTTAGCCTTATTAGCCTCCTAAATTGTTTAAATTATCACACCATATTTTTTTGGTCTGCCAATACTTCTTTGTCCATTTGTTGACTTATCTTATGCTAGTCGTACTATCCTATCCTCTGCGATTCTACTAATGTGTTCGTTCCACTCTTGTTTCTTGTTTCATTATCAAATCCTAATAAGTTCCCCGAAGGGAACATATTTCTGTTGTTTATTTCACTAATCACTTAGTTTTTGTTACTTTTATAACCAGCAGAGCTTAGATTTTGCTGGAACATACAGCTTTCAATTTAAATCAAAAAATGTTGGGTCATTTTTTGACAACCATAATGACAATGGAGAATATCAAGAAGTTAATGTCATGAGAGAAGGCAGACATGTAACAATAGAGTTGTCAAACATTAAAAAAAAATACAAACAACCTTGGAAAATTTCAAAAAATAAAATAAAAAATATAAAAAGCTTATTACCTTATATTCCGCCAGTCTACCATACTTTTTATAATCATCTAAAAGAAGGTACTGACAATGATAATGAAGAAGTGGAAATTGTAGATATATAATTTTAATATTTTTTCCAATATAGTGTTACGATTTTTTAAATCGAAGAACATGTTAAGCCACTTTTTTTTAATTTTTTTTCTGTAAAATAATAAATGTTTATGCATTTTAGAGCTTTATCACCTTTCTTATTTTGTGGCTTGCCGTTATGTTGCAATAAGGTCTTCAATTGAATTCGAGTTAAGGATCTTATTGCAACGTAAATTACTCGCCGATTTAGAACAGAAATCTCTACGGCTTGGGTGCCAGCTCAATACTCCTAAATACTTACCGAACACTTTTACTTATTCCCGATTTTGCAAAAGAGGTTTTTCGTTGTGGAAGCTGTTATGTTCCAAAAGACTTTTTCGTCGTCACACTATCCAAACAAAACACATATCTATATGTCTTTTATTAATATAATCTGTAATATACAGACCGAATTGCTACAACTTGTCTCCTGCACACAGATGACAAAGAAAAATAATCAAGAATTATATTTTTCAATATTCATTCATCTATAAATACGATATCAGAAAAGAAACTTTTATATATTTTGGAAGTCTGTAAATGGGATAGGAAGGTTGTGTTGCAACTACCCTGGAATTTTCTGGTAAATTTACCACCACAAAAATAAAATCTATCACAAATTCTTGTCCGATATCGCCAATAAGCACAATAAAGTAAAACAACGTCCAGGTGTAAACAAATGAACGACAAAAAAATAGAACACAAGAGGTAAGTAACACCTCAGATATTGTATGATGTCGCTAAGATATTTGATCTAAAATTTTGCAAGGTTTTAGATATGAATAAAAATAACTCTTGACTTTAAGAATTTCCTAAAATCCACGTTAAACAAATAAGATAAAAATAAATGGCAAATACTGGAAAGATCATCTATTAATATTACACCTGTGAAAGCAATACGATTCTACAACGATCGTCGATCAAAAATAAAGATTAACAACCAATTCTCCATAATTTTAAGGTAAATAAGGGACTAAGGTAATCGTCTTCAATACTCTTCAAAACACGAAGAAATGGAATGGATATACCATTAAACGACGAAACAACCTTATATACACTTCATTTCGTGGCCGATCAAGTAGCCATTGCATAGGACCAGGAAGTTCCTATGCAAAAATACATCAGACTAGTAAAAGCAACAATGGCCTCGTCAACAGTAGCTGTCAGAGTACAAAATGAGCTTACTGAGAACTTTTCAATAGTCAAAGGATTAAAACAAGGAGACGAGCTGGCACCGACCATATTCCAATCTGACTTTTGAATATGTGATAATACTGCTGAAGATAGGAAGAGGTAATCTGTTAACAAATAAATACAGATTGCCGCCTATGCCGATGACATTAGCATTATATTCGCAGAACAGAAGATGCGGCAGAAATATATTTAAAATTAAAAACAGGACAGAAGGGACCGAACTAGAAATAAATATTCAAAAAACAAAACAAAAACTAGCACAGGCAAGAGCTAGGGAAAACAGACCTACAGTCGAATTACGAGGACGATATTGAAACTGTTGAAAGTTTCACATATCTGGGAGTTACATCCCAAACAGCACAGTACGTTTTAAGTACGTACAATTTTGGTGCTGTACGTACATGATGTAAAATGTACGTTTTAAGTACGTACACTGAGGTACATACCAGTACATACAGAAGAGTACGTACCACGTACATACTATTACCTCTTAAGTATTTACCATGAGAAAGAAGAGTTAAAGCATATTTATTGTTAGGTTGTGTTAACCTAACCTAATGGATTTAGTTAGGAATTTTCCACCTCGCGTACAGTTGTGATGTGATAATTCATTGGAAGGCAGTTTCATTTGGATTTTTTTTTACTTATTTTTGGTGTTTGGTGCTTATAGTGTGGTTTCCTGTTATTTTATTCCTTATGTATAGTGATAAGAAAGAGCCGGAGCAAGAAATTGGACGATGATTGAGGAGAGTCGTGGATCGCTTAAAAACTTTCCTATTTTACTCACTAGGTACGTACCATAATTTGGAAAATGTACGTTTTATGTACGTATTAAGTACCTACTTCGTACAGCAAAGTACGTACATTGTACATACTTTATGTCCCATTAGTACGTACTTAGTTTGTCTTATGTACGTACTTGTGCTTACTGGGAGTAAACACGGATGGAACAGAAGAACTAGAAATTCAATGAAGAATAGCACATGGAAACACATTTTACTCTCCCATGTTTTCCGCTCCAAAAACACACACTAGAGATCGAAAATCAGGGTCTATAAAACTATTATCAGACCAATAGTATGTTATATATGCGAGAAATCGGTGATGACAGAAGACACAAAACGAAAGCTGGAAGTCTTCAAAGGACAAGTCCCAAGGAAGATATTTGGACCTATTAACGAAAACAGAGTATGAAGATCCACGTACAACCATGAACTCTACAAACTGGTCAAAGATGCACCGATCTCAGAGAATTCAGAAGAGAAGATTCACACAGAGAATCCGATGGGCTGGTATCGAGTGACCAGGTAGACGTGAGAACCTGGAGAAGAACAGCGCAGGACCGGCCAGGTTGGATGCACAGTTTGGAGTAGGTCAAGGCTCGATTTGAGCTGTAGCGCCATTGGAGAGACAGATATAGAAAATAAATGAGAATCAAGCAGAACTTATCAACCAAACTATTCCAATCCTGTTTCCATCTACTCAATACTTACCAGAATATGGCGCCACTATAGAATAAAAATATAATTTCGAACCATTACTTAAAATGTTATTATTATTGTTATTTATTTACAACTACCTGACAATCCCAACGTAAAATAATTCTACATTATCTGTACATAGATATTTAATACCTCAAATGACGTACATTCACAAAAATAAAAGAAATTCACTAAGTAAATATTTAAAAGTCACTAATTTAATAATTTAATCTTAAAAATAATTGGTGTACAGATTGTCCCACTTCGACAAGCGGATGACAATTCGAATTTAGTAATAAAGTCCGTGATACTGATACCTGGTGGGTGGAAAAATAATTATACAGGAAGAATCAGAAAAAATATATTTTCATCACCGAAAGATTGGAAAAATAATGCTCTGGTGGTAGTATGTGTACTGATGATCAAGAAAATGGTAGGCACAAAGAAATAAAATAAAAATATCTACATTTTAAAGTTTCATGCATAAACCAATTATATACTATTACCTCCAATAAATAATTGCACAAGTGGGAGTTTTCGTGATCACCCGTACATAAATATGTTGCATCATGCTGAACAAATGATTAAATGATACAAAACGCCCAGACTGTAGAAACAATATAAAATCATAAATGATAAAACTGAAGATTCGAAATATACAGTTATTGTGGAAGCATATTCTTTTCAGAGAATTTAGATGTGACTTCATAATTTTTAGGAAATTTTATCTCTAGTTCATCAACTGTCAGCGCTTTATTTGCTTTAGAATGCCATCATTTTACTAAACTGAGATTTTTTAACTTTTTGAGTTTTTATATGGCATACTGCAAACAAATATACATAAAATAAATTTAGAATATTAACAATTATTATAGAAAAAAATTAATAGTGTCATACTTTTTAAAATATATCATTTATATTGTCTCTATAATTTGGTACAATCTGTAAACGTCCAACCATTTTTAATTTGTGGTTTTCATGCAAAACTGATGACTATCATTACCTATTTCTATGTAGGCTTCGCCCTATCGGGCCTGTCACTCTTTAAAACCAAGTCATTTTCAGAAACACAAACAAGACAAATAATCTTTTAAATGTTTCAAGTTCATCAATAATTTATGTCTTAGTCTATTTATTCGACAATAGTTATTAGTGAGTGTCTGCCCCCCTACTTAACTATTTTCTCGAACAAAACAAAAATTAACAAAATCTTATATAACTGAACTAAAAAAATCTGTACAATATTTTTATTCTGTTTTTTATTGCCTGATTACTTGAATGGTGAACAGTAGCCATTTTTATAACACTACTGACGAGTTTTGTTTGACATAATCGCACAAAAATCTAGAACATATTGAGAGCTTTTAAATGGTGTATGGAATTAAAATCGAATGCAGATTTTTAAGTTATCTAAGATTTGCTGATATTAAGCAACAATACAAACTACTCTACATGTTAAATAGACCTTGAACTAGAATCTGCGAAAATTGGTTAAAAAATGAATTTAAATAAAATGAAAGTGATGTCAAATCAATATATCACAGTAGACTTGGATGGAAGTAGGAATTAAAGTATCGAAGAGTATATATACCTAGATCACGCGATCAAACTAGGCAAACAGAATCAAACGGCAGAAATCACTAGAAGAATCTGAATAACTTGGGCAGCAGTAGGACTCAGTGTTGTGTTGAAAAAAAAAGATACAGATAAATCTAAAAAAAAAAAGGAATAAGTTGTATCCTACCAGTTATGGAATGAAGACCATAAAAGAGTTATGGGCCCTTATAATGGCCCACAACATGAGAAATAAGCAGAGATATGGCTTGTTACAACTTGTTCTTCAGGACTAGTTGTATATTGCTCCAGAAATTGAAAAAATGGTTTAAAATTCTAAATAGCTGCCAGCAAAATAAGGATAGCCAAGTTAATCGCCAACATCCGGAACGGATAGGCACAGCAAGAAGAAGAATTTCACTAAAACATTGTACAGGTGGCTTAGTTCATTATCAGAAAGATATTTTAAGTTTTATGTTTAAAAACAATAGATCGAAGGGGTGTGAACAAGATACACACTATACTGTGTTAATGACATAATAAAAATTATTATAGTATGAAGCATTAATTTTGTACAAATGGAGTTGTAATTACAAAAAAGCCAAATTAAAGATTTTAAACAAGCACGACCATGTGCCAAATCAATAACACTAACATACAGCTACCATACATAGATGTCTCTGTTTTTTCATTTTCAATCGTTGAAAATTAATAAAAATTATACCACTGACTAAAATATGTTGTCCAGTGTCCTATGTACCACCTTGTATATATTAAAGCAAATACGCCATGATAGATCTTAATACATTTTTCTGATCCTTCCAGTTTTAAAGTCTACTAAACACTCTTTCGAAAAAAGAACAAAAATCCTAACAAAACCGGTAATCCGGTCCTGCCATATCGATGGCCCATCTAAATTTATCCCTTTGGGTTTTACTGTAAATCTTTTCGATAGGAACGTCGTACTTTTTGCACCACGCAACAATAATCCTTGGATCGAGATAGTTCAGCTTCGAGGAACCCAATACGATGGTTTTGTTTTCATCTCTGTCGGTTTCTTGGATCTCGAGTTTCGCGAGTTGGTCCTTAAGACGTTGGAGGAGCTTCTTCTTTTTGTCGGCGACTACTTTTTCTTTGACGCCGCCGTAATTCGCTTCTCTGATGGCCTCTTTTACCTTAAATGGATACATTTGACAATTAGTAAAAAAAGAGAAAATAAACAAAATTAATAAATATATGAAAAAAGGAACGATTATAAAAATAAAAAATGAATAATTAAGAAAATTATAACACATTTAAAGAAAAAACAAACAAGAATAGATTAAGCCAAATAAGATAATAATATAAAAAATGATAAAAATAAAGGAAAACAAAATAAAAACCGATTGAAGGGAACTTCGATAATAATTGACCACTTAGACCAATAAATAACAAAGAAAAATTAACCTGTCTCTCTGCATCGTGTATGGCCTCCCGTTTTTGAACGATCTTCTCTCTTAATTTCTCCATAGATTTTTCGTGACCTTTCGGCACGGACCGCTGATGGTTACACAGAATAGCAACTGCCCTATTGGCTCGATTGTAGGCCAAAATTTTTTCAGCTTCTGAATCATCTTCGTTTGTTAATAGATCTAATTGTTGTTGCAGTGTAAATGAAGCATTGTATGTACGGAATACCTAAAACCAAAAGTAAATGTTTAGTTAAAAATACACGGTTTCAGATAAAATTACGATTTTATACCATCCTTAAATGTGGATTTCATAAATGGTGATTAGTTCATAAACCCATTATAGGCCAACATCCTATTCATAGATTACTGAAAATTGTATATTATTTTAACCCTGAAAATTTATTTTAACTTTTAGAGTTCATTTAGATTTACATATTTAATAATAAAAGTTTCATATCTACTGGTTTTTATCGTTTACTGGATTATTCTTGTTGATTAATGTTTATTGTAAACTATATTCATGAATAAATCTCGGAAATATAAATTGTTGAATCGTCATCTTAAGTTTTATTTTACTGATTTATAATGGTTCTTAGTGTCATCAAAATATGCAGTACTTCAGTATTCAGTTAAATGTGTATTTTATGTGAAGTCGAAGTATTTTATTTAATTTTAAATTTCTTTATTACGATTTGCATAAAAGGTTTTAGATTTTATTCTGCAAGTAACTAATCTTATATGTGGAAAGATTATTCGATTCAGCTACAAATTTTGGGATTCTTGTGTAAGTAGAGGATACTGATATAATTTTGACTTTTATACTGGCAAAACAATCACTAAAAATGATGACAAGTATTTGAACTTAGGATCAACAGTAGTTCTTGATATGTTAGACAGCATCTCTGAATCTGCAAGCCACTGGGTATTTTTTAATAATTTATTTACACAAAAATGTGAATGCCGAAGAGGGAAAATATATACAGTAGACTCGCGGTTATCCGAGATAATTGAGACCGTGACTATCTCGGATGCGGAAAAACTCGGTTAACACCAAGATTGGCTGTACACATAAAAAATCACCGTAAATCACGATAGCTGTGGTTATTTTAATGACTAACTTAACCCATCGGAATGAGAAATCTTTCGAGATATTTGATCTTTTAATTTGATATAAATGGAGAAATATTTTTTTGTAGAACAGTTTGTTACCATAGCATCTAATTTTGACAGTGTAAACCTCTCACACAAGTTAGTAGAGAGAATCACAAGCTCGAAGGAAAAAGTTTATTTCTTAAATGTAAGTATAAAATACATTCATGAGGCATGAACTACTGGATCGTTGAAAAATATGACTAAAATCAGAGCTAAGAAATGATATTGGCCAATATTCACGGATTCTCGAAAAACTCAATAAGTCAAAGATTACTTTATTAGAAAAAGTATTTTTATAAAAGAATAAATATTTTAAAAAAGTTATTGCTTTAAAATTAAAAACCAATAAAGAATACAAGTAATAATGGAAAGTGTTGTCGCCGTGATATAGCACTGATTTGAAATCAATTGACAGCAGTGAACTTTCCCAAAAGAAAGTTAAGACATTAAAAAATAATTCATATTTCACTTCCTTCCCAGAGTGCCTTATTTTAATTTAAAAATTATTTTTATGTAGGGGGTAAAAAAATCTGAACAATTTCATGTTGCATTCTTTTCTTTCTTTCCACATGATTTTCCTCACCTTTCTTACATCAAAGACTGTAAATTGTAATTTATGTATTAATTACTGGCCTATTTTTACTAGAGAAGTCTATGACCAATAAAGTATATTTTCATATATAAATATTTTTTTGTGGTATTATTTGATATGTAATATTTTGTCACTTACCTTAACAGTAAGACCCTCCATAAGTTCATTCAGATGTTTGTTCATAATTGATGTATTAAGTCTGTCAAAGAGATTATCACCAGGTTTTTTGTTTTCCATAAACCGACCCAAGTTTTTGAACACCTGTTTTTCCACTGGTACTTCATTATAATACCTAAAAAATCAATGATAATATCAGGATGCACTCTTATTTAATAACTAATTGCTAATTATTAATGAGATACTTAGAAGTATACATTACACTTACCTAATGGAATCTTTACCAAAAAAATCAAACACTACAACAAATTCCTTATCATCTTTTTGCTCGTGAAGCTCTATGTGCTCTACTCTCAAAGAACAACAACCAACTGTATCAGCTTGATCTTCATTCTTTTTATTACCAGCTCTGAGGGCTAGCTTATCAATGAAGTACAAAGCTACAGCTCTCTGTCTCACTTTCATTTCCTTTGATTTCCAGTCCTAAAGAAAAAAATGAATGTAACATACTTTACTATTCAACAGATTATGTTGGTACTCCACACTACAAAGAATTAAAAAACAGTATATGCATACCTGTTGATACTCATTTCGAATCTTATTTATAGATTTATGCAATCTCCGTGCTGTCTCATACTTTTGCCAATCCTTTTCTCCCTTCAGCTTGGAACTAGGATTCAATATAATGTATCTGACTTGATTTTGTACATTTTCTGTCCAAGAAACCAACCATGTGACAGTATTTACATGACGGACTTCCTTCCACTTATGTCCAGGAGGAGGTTCCGGTATTTTGGAGTCCTTACTACAGTTAATTATGATATCTTCAGCATTGAGTCGTCTCTTCAGTTTGCCCATCTTAGGATGCTCACCTCGACCTAAAAATTACAAAATGTTAATTAAAAAAAAACATACAGTTTTAATCGCAAAAATATGACATTGCAGTGCAGCATATACTTAGTATGTAGTGCATAAAATGTTTGGTGCGTTATTAGAGATATTATGTTGATATATTAGATCAGAATGGACCAGAAGTATACAACCTAACCCAAAATTTGGAAAAATATCTTATTCATCAACAAAGTGTTCTCATTTTAGTATCTGACAAAAGAATTTTTTTCAATTTTTAATGCTTTATTAGGAGGCAGAGGAGGACTATAGAATGCTAAGGAGGGAAGAGAAGAAAATACATCGCAGAAAGAAAAGAGAATACAGAGAAAAAGAGAACACAGAGAAAAAGAACTCCAAGAAATTGAAGGACTAAATAAACCATTAGAAACCAGAAAATTGTATCAAAAACTTAACAAAAGTAGAAAAAAATTTAAACCAAAAACAATGATGTGTAGAGACAAAGAAGGAGATATAGTAACTCATCAGAGTGAAATACTACAAAGTTGGCAGAATTCTTCAAAGGAAAGTTTGAAAAAAACGAAGATCCACTATATCAGGGGTCTCCAAACTACGGCCCGAGGGCCACATCCGGCCCGCAGACAGATTTTGTCCGGCCTGCGGAGACATACTTGAAAACTCCTTTTAGAGAACAAATATTTTTTATAGCAAATAAAATGTTTGTGATAAGTTGGATAAAGAAACACAGAATGGTAATGAGTAAAGACATGTATAATTTATGCAGTAAATTTAACTTCAGCATATAATAACTAACAAATTCTCTAACAACTAACAAACTCCTTCTGATGACGGGTAGACCCAGAAACACGTGTCAGGGAGTGGTAAGAGACTCAAATTAAATCGAAACGCAACATTCTTCGTATATTTATCGTCCCTACTCGACGCAATGAGTACAAAATTGATGGTAATTTATATGGGTAAATTGTTGGTACATAGTGGAATATTTATTCTCAGTACCGCTCTGAATGGCTTGTTTAAGCTTGGGTACACAGTTTACTTTAATTGCTATCGACATATCTTCATCTTTCCTCACTAGAGGACTCTAGTTGCATACTCTGATAGTTATTTTTATGTAATTGCCAGAGTAATCGGTGCATTTTGATTTGGTTTGAGTCTTCTTACAAACTCCTTCTGATGACGGGTAGACCCAGAAACACGTGTCAGGGAGTGGTAAGAGACTCAAATTAAATCGAAACGCAACATTCTTCGTATAACTAACAAATTATTGAAATGAATCCAACTAACATTTTATACATTGTAAGTAATGAACAACACATACCTTATAACAAACATGACATATGAAATGCTAATGAGATGTATGTAATTGAGATTTTCCACCGACAATAGTTTGTAGTTGTGGACTAATTTTACTTGTACCAATTATAAAAAGAGATTTAAGATGCTCGTCAGTTAATTTAGATCTGTATACATTTTTTGTGTAATTCATTTTGGAGAAGGTTTTCTCACACAAATAAGTAGTACCAAAAACGGAAAACAGCCCACGAGCAAATTTATGCAAATTATCAAATTGTGTCAGTGGAAGACTCTTATAAAATTCCAACAAAGATGAGTTTTCATATTTGTTCTTAATTATATCACTGCACTGAAGATCAATCATTTCCATTTGAAGTTCCGGGGCTAGGGTTTCAATGTCAGCATCAAAAGGATTCTGAAAAATCATAATTTGATTCGCAATGGCATCAAAGTCCGAGAAACGAGTATCAAAATTTATCTTCAAAGCACTCAAAGTTTCGATTGCAAAATCGATAGGAAACTCAGTCTCAGTAGTGTGGCTGAATATTTCACATGTTTTAAAATGTGAAAAACATTTACTTCGTAGTTGTGATTGAAACAGTATCAATTTCATCCGGAATGACTTGATATTAGTGTATAAATCAGGAAGATGCTGGTTTTCTCCTTGCAATCTCAAATTCAGTTCGTTCACATGTTTTGTCAAATCAACATAGAATGCTAACTTCCATAGCCATGCGTTGTTTTGTAATTCAGTAAGAGGGCGGTGCTTTTCATTCAAAAAAATTTCGATCACTGCTCGAAGTTCAAAAAAGCGCTGAAGGACTTTCCCACAACTAAGCCAGTATGATAAGGTAAGTCTGTTTCTCCAATCTCTACAATAAATTGTCGGAATTGTCGGTGATTTAACCCAGAAGATCTGATGAAATTAACAGTTGATATGACTGGTTTCAGAACGTCAGACATATCCAAACATTTTCCGCACAAAGACTGTTGATGAATGATACAATGTAAGACTAATGGTTTTGAGCCACCGTCATTTTCTATAGCCTTTGACACAAGAGCGACCACTCCTTTATCTTTCCCACTCATGTTTTTGCCTCCATCAGTTGTAATACATTTTAAGTTTTTCCATCGAAGGTTCTTTTTATTAATGGCCATTTCAACTTCTTTAAAAATATCGGTACCAGTAGTTGTGCCATGAATACTATACATATCAAGAAGTTCTTCGTGCACTTCATAGCTTTTATCTACTCCTCTAATATAAATCAACACCTGAGCAGTATCTGACACATCCTTTGACCCATCCAAGGCCAAAGAAAACCACTCAACATGTCCATTTTTGTCGAACAGTTGAAAGGATATATTTTCAGCGATGTTTTCTACCCGTCGAGCCACAGTGTTTGCTGACATACTGACAGTTTTTAATAAATTTACCCTTTCAGGGCACATTTCTTTGACTACTGCAATTATGCATTCCTTGATCATTTCTTCATCGGTGAATGGTTTTCCACGTTTTGCAATTTCAAGAGCCACACGAAAGCTGGCACGAGTTGCCTCCTCTTGTTCAATTTTGACTTTTGTAAATAAAGATTGCTGCGATTTCAATCCGCACTTCAAAGCTTCGAATTTTTCTGTCCGCACAATTCCTGTATATTTTGAGTAATTTTGAGAATGTTTTGTTTCATAATGACGTTTCATGTTATATTCTTTAAGAACGGCTATGCTTTCATTGCAAATCAAACATGGCGCCTTGTTACTGGACTCAATTACGAAATACTGAATGTTCCACTGATCTTTGAATTTTCTGCATTCACTATCAATTTTTCGCTTCTTTTCCATTCTACTAAATCACACACAAACGCAACAATTCAAATCAAATCAAAATACTGTTACACGCACAAACTTGTTTTAAGGAGGTACGCCCTATTTTATTTCACCAGTTTCAACAGTTTCATAGGAACTGACTTGTAGTTACGCCACTATTGTCATCGCTTCGTCCTCGCACTCGTCCCACTTAGGTGGGGTCTTTAGTCTTCTCCCAGTTATCAGGTGCGTAACACTTAAGTGATTTGCGGCTATTATTTTTCAGACTTCTTATTATTTCGGATAGTTAAGTGTGTTTGTGACAATTTCTAACGATGGCGTTGAAAAATAGTAGAAAGAATAATTATGTTATTAGTGGACAATCTCGGGAGAGATTGGAGATTTCCACTGGTGGAAATATTTTGTTTGTTTATGTCTACCTTGTATTAAATTAAAATATATCAAAAATAGGTGAATATTTGACATACTTAATAATGTTGACAGCTTACCACACTTACAAAAAATTAAATTATTCGTTATTTAACAAAAAATGATGCACACTTCAGCAAAATTTTATTACACATAAAATACAGAAATATATAAAATATATAAATAATAATAAAATATAAAAAAATATATATAAAATACAGTGTTGCCATCTTGGCCCTCGGAACTTACTGGAGTAATCAGTATGGCCCTAAGGCTGGAAAGTTTGGAGACCCCTGCACTATACGATCGAATTATACTGGATCAAATGGATATCAGAGAAAAATCCCCCCCTTCAGTAGCTGAAATGCCAGAAGCAGTTACCAGACTGAAAAACAACAAGTCACCTGAATTAGACAACATTAACGCAGAATTAATTAAGAAAGATAGAGACTCTCTGTTGAATGCAATATACTAATTAATAGTAAACATATGGAATAATAAACAACTGCCATAAGACTGATATACCAGAGTAATTATGCCACTACATAAAAAGGGAGATCAGCTTCAATGTAAAAACTACCAGGCAATAACACTACTGACTGTCGCATATAAAATACTGTCAAATATTGTGTATGACCGATTGACACTATATGCGGAAGAAATAGTTGGGGGATATCAATGTGGTTTCTGCAAGCAGAAGTCCATAATAGATCAGATCTTTGTCTTGAGGCAAATTTTGGAAAAGACTAGTGAATTTAATATAGACACACATTATCTTTTCATTGAATTTGAGAGTGCCTATGATAGCATCCATCGAGAATTTCTGATTCATGAAGTGAAAGAGTTTAATATTCCAACTCAACTAATTAATATAGTAAAAGAAACACTTAAAGTGCAAAGCAAAATTCGAATTCAAAACGAACTAGTTTTGTACAAAGCAAAATTCGAACAAACGAACAGATAAAATCCATGTGAGAACAGGCCTACGACAGAGAGATGCCCTATTATGTATTCTATTTAACATCAAATTAGAGAAAATAATTAAGGAGTCAAAAGTCAACACCAGAGGAACAATAATAACAAAAAGTGTTTAAATATTGGCATTTGCAGATGATTTTGATATCATAGCTAGAAGCGAAAGAGAGATGATAGAAGCATTTAATGCGATAGAAAGAGCAGCACAAAACAGTGGCCTAAACATTAACAAAATAAAATCCAAATACATGAAGGCCAGTAAATCGACAGGCCAAAGAAACCTACAGACTCTGACAATAGGAGACTCTAGCATCGAAAGCGTGAAAAGTTTTACATATCTAGGTTCACTAGTTACCGCAGATAACAATATCAGTGTAGAAGTTAAGACAAGAATACATATCGCTAATAAAACATATAATAGACTGATTAAACATCTAAGATCTAACAACATCACAAGAAAAACCAAGTGCAAAATATACAAGACTCCGATAAAACTGGTCCTTGTATATGGATCAGAGGCATGGACGCTATCGAAAAGCGATGAGAACCTATTAGGTACATTTGAACGAAAAATCCTTAAACACATATATAAGGGGGTAAAGGAAAATGACATATGGTACAGAAGATATAACTTTGAACTATAAACAGCGTACAATGAACTTGAGATCATAACATCCATAAAGATCAGACATCTGCACTGGATGAGCCAAACTTAGATACATGGAACAAGTGAAAACACTAAAGATTACCAACTGAAAAAACGAAGCAAGGAACAGAATAGAATGGCGGAAAATCCTAGAACAAACCAGGACCCAGAAAGGGTTGTCGAGCTACTGATGATGATGATGATCTTCGCTTTACATCGAGCAAAAAGACAAAAGAGGGAATCTAATCCTTATGAATAGGAGACCAAAAAAGTGGCCTCTGATGGCGGACATATCCGGAAATGCGAATGCGCCAAATTTAAATTTTTCGACACTTATTAACAGTAGCTATATAATATTTTTCAGAATGTGTCTTAGACGAGAAAGTTTTAATTAATTATTAACGATAATAGTCTAAAATGCGACATAATTGTTAAAAAACTTCAATATACATAAGATTTCATGTGACATTTGGGACAAACAATAACATAACCCAACTAAATTTGATGTCAAACAAGGAGAGAGACTCTCTTTCCTTGTTTAATGTGGCCTCTAAAAATCGCACTTCCTGTCTAACAATATTTTTGCCCCCACTACCTTTACATTCCCTCTTTTATCTTTTTACTCGATGTCACTTTAATATTGTATAAATTTAAAATACACTGTTAGGGACATTAAATAATAAAAAGTAATAAATAAGTTTTTGGTCTTGATAAAAACGTAATCATTAAAAAACCTATAAAATATTTGTAACTTTCAGTAAGCTAATTTTTAAAATTTGTAATCTCACAAAGTACTATATTGATGCAACAAACATGAGCAATAGAAGACACATAAAATCAAAAAGTGCAATACCTTGATATTCAGTAATTTATACTGAACTTACCTCTGAAAAGACTAGGAGGTTCCAGCCTAAAGTTAGCAATCTTTTCCTTGTGCCCATCAATAACACAAGTACCATACTCTTTTACTATAGCCTCATTCTTTTCCTTCAAGGCCTTTTTCTCTTCCTCGGATCTGTTCCTATTGTTTTCTGCTGCATCCATAAAATAGGCATGCATCTTTTTAAAATTGCACTTTTTCAGGTCAGTTATAAGAGCACGTTCATCATCTGTCATTACCTGTTGATTTCAAAGAAAAATATCTTTAACTAAGCTGAACATTATACAACAGTAGAAAATTATATATTTCATATCCTGAAGAAAACAGATGGATGATGTGAATATTGAAAGAGAATCTTGTAAGTACTAGTAAAAACGCTAAATCTAATTGTGTACTGTATAAAAAAAAATTAAAACACACCTTTCTCCAGTCTTTAAAAAAGTTTTTGTTAAATATTTCTTTGGTGGTGTAGTCATGATCCAACATCTTTGCATAGAATCCTGCAACTTCTTCAGCTTCTTCTGATAATTCCACTTCTTTTCCATCATAGTAGAATTTGACATTCTTTGGTAGTCTCTCATAATCTGGGGGAAATACGGGCCCCTTGTGTTCCAAGAATGTCCATTTGACACCATTATCTTTCTTCTCCTCCTCCCACCTAAAATAGCATTTTTCTGATGTTAAATGATTGGTTATTCATTAAAGCTTACAAGTTTTACTTATAATAACGAAAATATTATTAAAAACAAATAGGAGTGGTTTATATATCAAAATAACAAACCTGAAGTGGCACAAATAAACATAATGACAGTAACTTTTTATCACAGCTTTAGTTTTTTTAAGTCATCAATTTGAATAATATTCTTTCTGTGTAGTATATCACAAATTGAAGAATCATTTTTGATAAGCTTTGGATGAGTGGTTTTCAATCTAATTTTATATAAAACATTGTTTTTAAATTCGGATACATGTAAACAATTTGTGCAACATTTAAGTAGTTGTTGGTTTAATAACCAAAATAAGTCAGATATACTATAACAGCGAGAGAAACACAAGACTCTGGCCAACAGCCAAACAATACATGAGAGGTGTGTACACCCCTCTAAACATCTTTTACGTTGAAAATTTGTAAAACAATTGGTCTTCCAGCTTATTGCAGATCATATCAGGGTCCGAGCTGCAAGCAACTATGATATAATTGGGTAAAAAATATACTGGGTATTCAGGAACAAGTTGTTAAAGTGGAAACATCAACAAACTGAGAACGATGTAATGTTGCTGTTAAACAGTTAATGTTGCGTACATCATATTTATGCTTAGAATGTGCTCTAATCACATCAGCATTATTTGCACTAAATGCTCTAATGATTTATAGAGTTATAGTGGATAAACATATGTGAGTAGAATTGACTAGGCTTATTTATTAAGCTTTATTTCATATTTTTCAATATGAACAGTTCCAATTATTTGTTTAAACTAAACCACGATCTATTACGTTAATAAATATAGTAAAAATATCACATATCATAAATGCTCTCTGATACAGTACGAACAGTCATTAACAAAATAACAGTGTTACTAGCGTAAAGTTAAATAAGAAAAAATACTCACCATTTCCAAACTTCCTGCTCTTCTTCGGCCTTCTTCTTTTTCTATTATTAATATAATATAATAACCAACATTAGCCGTGAAAGTTTCAATTGTTTTTTGCTAAATATATTAATATTTAAACATTATTAATATTGATAAACATTTTGGAAAGGAAAATAAATCTAAAACGCATTAATTTTAATGAATAAACACCTCAGGAACGCCTATGACGATACAAATTTTACAACCGTTTTATGACTTTGAGGCACATTGCGTGCTCTCAACAATTTGTGAACGGATTATAGTGCAATTTTTATTTTTAGAGACCATTCTTCAAAACCTATAACATAAAATGTGAATTTTGAGTTGTGCAACAAATATGAGACATTTGACATATGACTAAAAATGGCAGAATTTAAATTTTTACATTACAAACAATCGCACGTCACAGGAAATACCATAAAGAAAATGGTTTTGAGTGTAATTCGTAGCAGAAAATGGTTAGTTTTGGTAGATGAATAGCTGAATGATGAATAGATGAATATTTGAAAAAGAATAGGTTTAAAGGTTTTAGATCCTTTGTAATGTGAAAGTATAAATTCAGCGTGTTTATGTATATTTGAAATGCCTCACATTTGTCGCTAAAACTCAAAACTAAAATTTTATGTTATAAGTTTTAAAAATTAGGTCCTAATTATCAAAGATCCACATTGGACGATTAATAAAAGGGATAAATTGTACTAATCTCATGAGAATCATAAAATTTTTTAAAAATCACGCCACCTATATTTATTTAACGCCTTTATTAAAACTCAGTTTATTTGTGGCAAGATACAAAAATTGCGTACAGAAGCGGCACCCTTTACTTTTAACACGCATCTTGATATTTGTCGATAAGACGATCGAATCAAAGGATACCGAATTTTTAAAGTCAAGATACAAATTTTCACTACACACAAAATACATTTTTGTTCAAAATTATCTTAGCTACATTTGTTATTTGATGGCGTACAGATTCTTGGTAAATCGATTTTTTCCGTTTTCCCCATCTACGAGGGGGGTTTTTTGTGGTAAACTTTATTGCATCTTGTTATAATAAGGAGTTATTTTGCGAATATAATGACAATTTGCCGAAATTCTTTTATTAAATTAACAACATTTTTTATTATGTATGAAATTATTTTTGCGGCTTAATTATATATTTTATATTGAATACTATGAAATTAATTGTTTGATAATCAAAAACTGCTGACAACTAAATATGGAACATCTTTTGCTTTTCCTCGCGTTTCTTAAATTTTATGAGCCTGACGCAAATAAGACTTTGAAATCAAACATACGAGTAGATAGTGCATTGTCAACAATAATTGCCATGGCTCATTTGAGTATGAATAAAGACAACTGTCAGTTATATTACGAGTAAAATATAATAATGGAACGTGGAAATCCTACCTATCCAAAAGATCGAGAAATTATTATTCATCATTACCATGAAGGGAAAACAATGCGTGAAATTTCCAGTGAATTGACTGTAGCAACAACTACGGTGTTTAATATAATTAATAAATATGGTGAAACTGTCAGTATTGATGTTTGCAGAAAAAGCTCAGGCCCTCCACAAACTGTTTCTCAAAGGAGTGCATTTAATTCAAATATGTAAGTCGTAAAGAAAAAATACACTACGAGAAATAACCGTTAGAAGGAGTAGAGTAACTCGGATGAATGTTTCCAAAGAATCCTGTTGCAAATATATCCACAAAAGCGGTCTTATTTTTATAAGGTTTGTTTGATAGGTTCTTCTTTGCAATATATTTTTTCTGTTTTTTGATTTATTCGAGTAGGCCAAAGGAAAACCATTGCTGACGGAAACCCAAAAAAGGAATCGTTACATTTGAGATAAATTAAAACTTTCGTGGACCAAACATAACTGGGACAAAGTTATCTATAGCGACGAAAGCAAATCTGATGTCTGTGTGGAGATTATCGAAAGCGTGTGATTCGGCAAAAAGTGTAATTCGAGAAGCATCACATAAAGATTTTCTCTAAAGAACTGTAAAGTTTCCACAGGGCATTTTGGGGGGTTGTATGTCGGCAAAGGGTTGGGAACATTACATTTTATTGAGGTCATAGTACACGCAACTAAATATCAATATGTCCTTGAATATTGGCCTCTACCAAGTGCGGCATAGTTATATCCATTCGGAGCAGCACGAATGTTAATCCAATAGAGGCACTTTGACACAAAATGAAACACCGCCTAAAAAAATAACCCCCAGCCTACTTTGCCACAACTACGTGCTAAATTAGAAGAAATATGAGATAGTTGTTGGAATTTTCTCTGATTTCCACCAATTGTTGGGGGGAAAGCTTAATAAATTCCTCTCCCCGTGCGTGTACAGTACCAAATATTTTAGGACCATGGACTGTAAAAGAGTTTCCTTCGATATATGCAAGCAGACTAGGGATGTGTAGTTCACCATCGAAATAGTTCTAATGAACGATTCTTTCAACTGAACTAATTGAACTATGTAGTTCATTAATTTTCATAGAACTATGGTCTGTTTTTTAACCAGGAGGAGTAATTCAAATTTTCCGCGCCGTAATTCTTGTTTGTAATTGGTCTAACCGCAGGCAAGTTTACTCCACTAAATTATGACATATTGACACTAATGACATTTGTGAAATTTTAAAATTCAAATTTATATCGACGATTTTTTGTATTTTCTGCGTTATTCCTTACATTCATAGATTTTTCGTTTGCATTTATATAAAGAACAGTTCTTTTCAGAACTATTTAGTGTTATTAAGATAACAATATGGATTCAGTGCCAAGTACTAGTGGTAATTATTCTTCTCCACCTTAAAAACGCCGAGTAGATTTAGGTCATTTATCAACAAATAAGAAACAATATTTTATAAACATGTATAAAAAAATGAAAATTGATAATTCTGGATTGGAAATAACAGCCACGGTAGCAAAAGTAAAACAGGCAGCAGGTTAGTTTTGCAGAATAGTTATTATTAAAATCAAGACTTACTAAAGTAATGTGCTAATTTTAGGTATTGCGAATTCAACTATTTACCAAACAAAGAATATAAGCAGACTGGTGATATGCGAATATTATTTAATGTGATATTTTTCTAAATGATATTTATACTAAATATTGTTTAAGTGTTTATAAATTTATAAATGTATGATATTTATATCTAATTATCATAATAAAAACGGCAACTATCTTTTAAATTTAGTGTACACTTGTTAAGAAGCATTTTCATTTTGTTTTCATCACAATAAAAGAACACTAGTAAAGTAATGTGTTTTAGTTTGATTGTATTGATACAGTTGGTTTTGTTCTTCCTGGTTGTAGATAATCACAAGAAAACTGCAAAATTATGCTTGAATGTAACATAATAGATTGAATTTTTGTTAATTTTAGTTAATTTTATTTATTGATAACAAATGTTACAAACTCAAGAATCCAAGACAAGAATCCAGCTTTAAAAAAATTTCAAGTACACACTTATTTATACAAAGTATCTTTTTGCATTATAGTGCTTCAAATAGAACCTAAAGATATTGATACATAAGTTAAACAAATATATCTAATGAGGTAACTGATAACCAAATAGGACCACACCCATGATACTATGACTATAAGATAAGATATTGCGCATGTTTTTGTGACGTCATTGGAGACTTGCACGTTCGAAATGTCAGTTTCTGTATATATCAATAAATAATCTTTAATAAATAGTTTGGAGATATCCTTATGTGTACGATTATTGTAATTATTTAACCTCTTAACTTATTTTCGTCTAGTAATTTCATCACAGAATGCATACAAATCTCATTTAACTTTAACAAGAATTCAAATTCTAGTCTCCAATGACGACATGCGCGAACCCGACCGATTTTGAGCTACGGGAAGATCCTATCTTGTTATTCATAGTATCATGACCACACCTATATTTGAACCATAATTTATTCTGTGATGGGAAACATGAAAAAGTGAATTTTAAAGCAGTGAACGAGAAGCAGTATGTAAAAAAAATTGGCTGAAGCAATTCAGGAGATTGGATTATTAAGCTTAAAAATAATAATCAAAGTCAAAGTTAACTCTTCTGGTAAGAAGAAAAAACCTATATTCAAGAAATTAATCACATCAGAATAAAAATATGGTCTATGCAATTTAAGAGAACAGTATTTCAGAAATCTTTGAACTTTTTGATACATGCATTTGCATAGCTTTGTTGCAGACTTATTAGATCTATTTGCAAATTAAAAGACAAATTTATGTGAAAAACCAAACTTAGATGAATGTGAAAAACGTCCTTTTTTTGTAATAATTGTAATATCTATTGGAAATGAATTAAAAAAAAAATATTATTCAAAAATAAATTAACAAAGTTAGGTTAGAATTGACGTGGAAGGTTGTACGATATTGATTATTCGATTACCGCAAGGCCGAGATAATCAACAAAAAAAGAAGATGTATTTGGTGACTTTTCTAGTAACTTTCTTGGATGTGAATATGTCTTTATGGTTTACTCCTCCTGGTTAAAAAACAGAGTATAGTTCACTGCGAACGATTTGCATTATAAATTATGTCTCGACTTCTAAAGAAGAAAATAATGAATGAATGAATTAGAACATATATTTATTATTTTGTGAATGGATAGACTAACTAGTTTAAAAAAAATGCCGATTAGCCTCAGATAACAGATTCATAATTGTTATAAATGTGACAATACCATAAGGTCTTATCTTAATGTCATAATGGTTTGGATCTTATGCCCAAGTATTGGCTTTGATGTTGCCATGCTGTGTTGTTTCTTGTATTGTAATTTTGAAAAAAAAATTTTAGTTGTGGTTAAAATGATTGAGGCATTTACATAAAATATAATTTTATGTAAAAGTGAGAATGAAAATGTGTTATTTAATGTTCTAGAAAATTCACTGATTTTTTTTGTAAAGGTTCTTTTAGAAATATTCTAATTATAAATACCTATTAGTTTAAATATTCTTCTTCTTCAAGTGCCGTCTCCATCAATGGAGGTTAGCGGTTATGGTGGCAAACGTTTGTCTATCTTCAGCTGTTCTTAAGAGTTGCTCAAATCCAAGTCCTGTCCAGTTTCTGATATTACGTAACCAGGACAATTTTTTTCTTCCAATTCCTCGCTTTCCTTCTATTTTGCCTTTTATTATCAACTGAGGGATGTAGTATTTCTCGTTGCGCAACAAATGCCCTAAATAACTGGTTTTTCTTCTTTTGACTGTTCTCAATAGTTCTTTTTCTAAATTGAGTCTAGCTAGTACTTCTTCATTTGTTTTTCGTGCTGTCCAAGGAATTTTTAAAATTCTACGGTACACCCACATTTCAAATGCCTCGATTCTATTCAGGCTCTTTATTTTTAAAGTCCATGTTTCGACTCTGTAGAGAAGAACAGACCAGATAAAACATTTTACAAGTTTTAATCTCAATTTAATATTTATATGTGTATCGCAGAATAGAACGCGCATCTTAAAGAAACTATCCCTAGCTTGAGCAATTCTCGCTTTAATTTCTTGTTCTGGGTCCAGCTTGCAATTAATCCAACAGCCAAGGTATTTGTATTGGTTTACCTGTTCTAAAATATTCCCATTTATTTTTATAGGTAAGGGGATATTCTGTTTTCTTTGGATCACCATTACTTTTGTTTTTTTTTCGTTGATCTTCATTCCAAACTCTCGACAAGCATCCTTAAGGTGGTCTATAACCCTCTGTAAGTTTGTGTCTGTATCAGCCAGTAGGACAGTGTCATCTGCATATCTTATGCTAGATATTGGTTCTCCATTAATTTTTATTCCTGTGGAAAGGTTTTCCAAGGCTTGCTTGAATAGTAGTTCCGAGTAAAGATTGAACAGCATAGGGGATAGTATGCATCCTTGCCTTACTCCTTTATTTATACTAATATTTCTAGATGTATGATCGTCGATCCTAATCTTGGCACTCTGCCTCCAATATAAGTTCTTAATTAATCGGAGATCTTTACTATCCAAGTTGATGCTCTGCAAGGAATTTAAATGTTTAAATATACGTAAATATAAAAATAAATCATACTTGAACCATATTTATATTTAAAACGGTTAATAAAAAACAAATCTTAATATTTTTTTGCAAATAAAAACTAACTAATTATATAATAATTTAAACCATTTAAACCTAAACATACTATTGAAAGAAATAGTTCCGAACTACTTGTACGGTAGTGAACTAGTGAAAGACTGACTAAAAACCGAAGTTTGCCGAAGTAAACGGGCGGCCAGCGCCGAGCTTGTGTGATGATTGAGACGAGACATCTGGCAACCAGTTCTGTTAGGGTTGGATTTCGATGTCGGTCCTACAAAAATAGTTGTTTCGAGAACTAGTTCACTGAACTAGTTCATTTTTGTGAAATAGTTCTGTTGAACTAGTTCGTCTAAAAGAACTAATAAGCACACCTCTAAAGCAGACTTCACGGCGATGGTTCTTTATGTGTTTGGTTTAATAGGGGTTGTACTTAGAGAAAAATAAGCGTAATTAATTGAATCTACACATTTAATATCTAGAATATTTACAAAAGCACTAATACTAATGAAATAGTTCGCTTTAAAACATTGTCCATTATTATATCGGCGTTTTAGGGGCGCGCGAACTATCGAGAAAACAAATACACATTTCACTGCATTTTGTAGGCGAAGAGAGGACTTAGGACACTTACGCTTAGTGGCTTAGGTACCGTCGAGTACCGCACAACTTGAGATACTGACACATACTGAACACATCTGCGAGAGATTTTGACTTGAATCTTTATCTAAAAGTGCCGACAAGACGGCGTCAGTTTACAACCCAAAAACCCTTATAAGGTATTTATGGCACAAATATTCTGCAGGCAAAAAGTACAGTCTGTAGCATAAGATCTAAGCCAATATTTGTGAGAACGAAAACTTAAACTAAAATTAATATAACATGTTATTTTTACAATAGTTTCATTCCTGAATTCTGTGAAGGCCTAGTTGGTACAATCCCTAATAGAGTTCAGGCTGTTTTTAATCTAAGGGCTACGTTACAAATTATTAATATTTATTTTAATATGATATAATCCTCTTGTTCTAACATTTAGTTGTCAGCATGTTTTGGCTATCAAACAACTAATTAAATAGTAACCAACAAAAATTACATAATTAAACTGTAAAAATAATTCCATCATACCATCATAAAAAATGTTGTTAATTTCATATTTACAATTAAAAAAATTAACATAAAAGAATTTCAATAAATTGGTATTTTATTTGCAAAATAACTGCTTGTTCCAACATATAGTTGGTAGGGCTCATAAAATGTCATTTTGTTTTAACTTTTCTATAATAAGCAAAAATTGATAAACATTTCAGTAAAGTACATTTTACAGCATATAAATATATTTATATTTTGCCTTATATTTGCAAATGCTTCAAATTTACTGCAAAAGGTGACTTCATAGCAATCAAGTGATACTGACCTCTGTAGTATAAGTTAGAATGTGTCGTTTCCAAAATACAATATAAAAGAAAGTCAAGAAAAATCGAAGAAAAAAGTTTCTTTTGCGCATGCATAGAAAATTGCCCCATGCCGGTTTTAATTTTGATATGTTTTTGATCTACAGGTAATACTGCAAGCATAATGGCAAAAAAAAATAAGTTGTTAGTTTAAATTATATTTAGATTTTCTCTTGAATACCGTGAACAGCTGAATTTCAAAAGGAGATCCTTGGTCTTCAATGTATCCAGATGGTGTTGTGTTGGTAGGAAAATCAGATAGGCTACTTAGCTTAGATAGACAAGAACTCACAAAAGATGATAATTTTAAATAATTAGGATCGCTGTTCTGATAGAAAGGTCGCAATAAAATTAAATGGTAAGTTCTATAGGACTGCCTCAAGACCATCGCTATGATCTATGGAACTAAATGGTGTACAGTAAAAAAGAGGGATGAACTGAAATTGCATGTTGCCGAAATGCGAATGCTTAAATGGCGGAATGGAATAGAGGATAAAAAGTTAATGAGTATATAAGAGGAAGCTTGGGTGTGGCTTCTGTTGGAAACAATATGGAAAAACATAGGTAAGGTGGCTAAGGCATGTTAAACATAGAGAGGATAAATCCATCACCACCCTGTAATGAACCAAATCATTAGTAACAATTTAAATTAGAACGAAAAATATTAGAATCATTTTGTTTCCATTTTACGAAATTTTTAATTTCTTGCAACTTTGAAACAGTCAAGTAAGTTAATTAAGTTTATTAATATGAAATATACTTACAGTACTCGGCTCTTGATTCATATCAAATTCGAATTTTTGTTCACTTATTATAATTCAGATTCAGGTTTGAATTTTTGTTTACTCATTGCGGTTAAAATTGCACTGTTTCTAGTGTGGTGGATTAGATAAAAACTTATAAAGTGCGTCGTATAGAAGGGGGGCGGGGTACTTCACTTATTACGATGAGATACGACAGGACAAAGGGGGCATGAGTACATATTTGACGTCGTTTGGAGTATTTCAATTTGTGACATCATTGTTCAAAGTATTTTTCAAGTATCCATTTTTTATTTCCAGCTATCTCCTTTTTTACCGAGAATGGATGCTTATTAAATGATCTTTAATATATCACCTAATAGCAGTACCTATGGTTTTATTGCTACGTTCAATAAAGTTGCACTGAGGCGAATAGACAGCATTAAACCATATTTTTTGGACTTTATATTTATTACATAAATTCTTTAACAAAGAATTATTAAGATTTCGGGCGTTATCACATATAAGAAATTGAGGGACTCCGAACATAAGAAAAACGTAATTTTCAAGATAATTAACGATATTTTGCGTGGTAGCTTTTTGCAAAGGATGAATCAAAGTAAATTTCGAACACCAGTCGGTAACAACAAGAAGAAAGGTGTATCCTCTTTTTGAGCCAGGAAGCGGACCAATTTGATCTACGGCAATTATTTTCCAAGGGAACCTAGCGGATTTTTCTCGTCCCATTAAACCCATGGGAGCCAAAATCGACATCTTTTGAGCTCCACAGATTTTACAAGACCTAACAAAACGAAGTACATCTTTTCGCATTTTGGGCCAATAATATAACTCTTGAATCCGATTTAAAGTTTTGAAATAGCCAAGATAGGCACAGGTAGGTGGATCATGACAAGAAGTGATAATATCATTTCTTTGGGGTTTCGGTACTAAAATTTTCCACTCTTTATTAGTAGTGAAAACGTAATTCGGAAGGAACTAATTTAAAGATAAAATTATCCTCTACTTTCCACTGAGTCCTTCTCACTGAGTATTTAACCACTGATTCCACTTATTCTGAATTTTAACGTCGGATTTACTGGGACGAAAAGGTAACGAGATTGCACCGACAAAACAAACTCGAGAAACTAGTTTTTTGAAGGCAAGGAACATTTTTACAGGTATGGACAGTCACATTAGGATTACCACACTTGTAACAGAACTTGTGCTGTTGTTCCTTTTTACAGACGGGATAGGTATGACCTGTTTTGCGACAGTTCCAACGTAGTGACAGGTAGCTACTTTCGAAGTGTTTTTGTCATTCGATTTCGATAAATTAGATACGTGATTAGAGGCAGATGGAGAAGATATGGCATTTGAGAGATTATTGTAAGAATGACGCTTCGACTGAGAAGTATCAGTCTCGACAACAGAGATTTGAAAATTTTGAAAGAACTTAGCCGACAATGAAGGGTTAGCATCTTCCAACTTCTTAACAATTTGAGTTAGTTCACTCACAGTATTAATGTCTTTTAAAATGACATGAGGAATATGCTCAGGTAAGATATTTTTACGAATAATCTTAATCTTAGTGGATTCGGATGCTTCACGAGATAAACGATTAAAAAAAAGACAGCATTTGCGCTGCGAAAATGACGATAGGCTCGCTACGTTTTTGTTTGTGACCTTTAATTTGATCCCAAAGTTCTTCATCGATATCGGGAGGTAGAAAATTGGATTTAAGAAGTTTAACAAGTCCATCCCACGAACTTATTGAGGAATTAATACTGCGAAACCACACCGCGGCCTTGCCAGAGAAAAATTCAATAGCCGAATTAAATAAAATACCTTTCGGAACATTACGAGATTCAGATAACTCATTAACTCTTTCGATTAAATCAGACACAATCTTGAGATCACCATTAAATTTAACATTCCATTTAAATATGGCCCAGACAGCACAAGACATCCCTGGGACGTCCATTTTATGCCATTTTAAGGTCCAAACGTCCCGGGACTTCTTTTCTTTTAAGGGATATTTCTAGTCGGACATACTAGGGACCTCCCATAAGGTCGTCCGAGGGACGTCCCATTAGGGATGTTTTCTAGATGTTAACTGTGTCATTTTTTTACTTAAGCATATTTTTTACAAAATATATCTTCCTACTAAACTTTATTTTAAAAAGTTATATTTAGTTTTAAATACCATTAATTTATACGAAAACACTTATATATTATACTATAGCAGAGCTGTATCTCTAAAATGTTGTTGTGTAGTGGAACTGAAATTTAAAAAGTAGAAGATGAAAGAAGAATGTGGTTATGTTTTAACGACGCTTCTATTTATCTCCTTGCGATTATGTTTCTTTTTAACACATTTTTATTTTAAGCTAGCATTTTCGGAATCTTTTATTTCTCGAATTATAATCATTGTGATTAGGGTTGTAATTAGAATTAGTTTATTGCTTTCGATACTACTTTATAGTTTGGTAATTTATTATTATAGACATTAATTGTATATAGGAATTTTATAGGTAATTTTTGTGGTTGTGGTGTGAGCTGCAACATTTGTAAAGTAAGTATAAGTAATGTACTTAAAAATAAATAAAAATCCATTTATTTTTGCTTTTCATTTTATTAGTTTTTTGTAAGTTCCCTTTGGGTCCTGTATACATCCTCATTTAGGTCCTGTATTAGTCCATGTTAACGTACAATGGATGTCCCCAATACGTCCTTCTTAGGTCCTATATAAGTCCGTATTAAGTTCTGGATATGTACTATGTACGTCCCCATGAACATCCATGGGACGTCCAGGGGACGTATTTTTGGTAACATTTAGGCCTTATTGGAATTCCCGGGGACATACAAATTATGTAAACGGATGTCCGTGGGATGTCCGGACATTTAATGAGGTACATCCTTCGGACATCAATGGGACGTATTTGTGCTGTCTGGGGGAATATTTGGAGATATTTGAATCGGGAGTAGAAACATGTATTATCTGTGGAGCAGCAGGAGAGACATACTCGACAGAAGAAGAACTAGAAGCTAAAGGAATGACTTTATCATTCATCTCTTGCTCCAATAACAAACAAGTAGCGTTAGATTCATTTCGGAAAGAAATAAATTCCTCAGAATCAGGCTCGGTAATAGGGAGACGATCTATTCTACCTAACAAATGAATAAGTCATTATTTGACTTGGCGAAAGCAAGAATCTGTTGAAGAACCTTCAAACTCTTCAACTAACTTTGAAATCTTATCGATAGAATTTTTAATAGCAGTCTTTTCGTTATCATAAACTAAGGTATCTATACATAATTGATTGCTATTATCCATAACTAACAATCTCTTGAGGATTTTCCTCCTTTCTTTTATTTCGCTACTCGTAACAGTGCCTCTGATTTTTAACTCATAATTAATTTCCTCTAAAGTAGGAAAATTGACTTCAAAATTATTTATTTTTTAATTTGAATCTACAGGTAATAATAATAAAAAAATTATTATTACCTGTAATATCTTAATAATAAAAAAATGTTACAACTTTAACAGTCTTCATATGTTTCGCTTTAATTACATGGTTTATGTGATTAATTGTTTGACCATCTGGTGACATCAGTACCTTTATAAATCTGCTTATGGTCAAAACATGTGCTCATAATACGTATATTATTTTCAAAAGCAAATTCAATCAATCTTCTGCCATTTAAATTGCTGTCTCTGTGTTTGCTCTTTCTGTCGGTTTTTTTTTTTTTTTTTTGATACCATCATCCCCATCGTCGGTTTAACAAGGGGTCTTTTTGGGGCTGTAGCACCGGGCGGTTGAAGGTTGCTGGGCGCTACGCGCGAAGTGCGTAATGTTTCGAAATTATATGGTTATCATCATCATCTTTGGCTCGACAATCCTCTGTGGATCTTGGCCTGCTCTAAGATTCGTCGCCATTCTGTTCAGTTTTTGGCAACATGTTGCCATTTTCTGATTTTTAATATTCGTAAGTCGGTTTCTACTCCATCTAACCACCTAATTCGCGGTCGGGGTTTGCTTCTTTTTCCTACAGGTGTTTTTGTGGTTAGCTTTTTAGCAATGGTATTTTCTGGCATTCGTATTGTGTCCAGCCCATCTAAGTCGCTGTGTTTTAATGAACGTTATGACATCTGGCTCATCAAAGAGCTGATACAATTCAAAATTATATCTTCTGCGCCACTGCCCTTGGTCGTTTACAGCTCCAAATATTTTGCGGAGTATTTTACGCTCAAATATTCCCAAAAGTCTTTCATCTTTCTGCGTTTGAGTCCATGTTTCTGCTCCCATATGTAAGGACCGGCCTCAGCAATGTTTTGTATATAATATTTTAGTTCTTCTTTGAATGTTTCTTGAGTGGAAATGCTTTTGGAGTCCATAGTATGCCCTATTTGTAAGATTTATTCGTCTTTTGATTTCTTCGCTTGTTTTATTGGTAGCAGTCAATAACGACCCAAGGTATGTGAAGTTGTCAACACGTCCAAAGTTATGACTTCCAAAGACTGTTTCTCGTTACTCATTTGCTATCGGATCCTTTGTAACCAACATGTACTTGGTTTTGTCTTCGTTGATGACTAGACCGAGCTGTTTCGCCGCTGTTTCCAATTCTAGGAGATATTGCTCAACATCTCGCTTGCTACGCCCTACTATGTCAATGTCATCAGCATATGCTAAGACTTGTATCGATCTATTGTAAATAGTACCGCCATCCCTAATTCGTGTATCTCGGACTGCCTTTTCTAAGGCAATATTAAATAGGAGACAAGCCAGAGCATCTCCTTGTCTAAGTCCATCCTTTATCTCAAAGGATCTAGAACTCTCTCCCTGTATTCTAACAGTGGCTTCTAAGTTAGACATTGTCGTTCTCGTTAGTCGGATAAGTTTCTCTGGTATACCAAACTCATGCATTGATTGGTATAGCACTGTTCTCTTGACACTGTCGTATGCGGCCTTGAAGTCGACGAATAGGTGATGGGTTTCAATATTGAATTCTAATGTTTTCTCGAGAATCTGTCTTATTGAATGAATCTGGTCAATTGTTGATTTTTCTGGAGTGAATCCAACTTGATATTTACCAACTATGCCCACTGTGTAAACTTGCAACCTTTCGTAGAGAATATTTGCTAGTATTTTGTAAGCAGTTGTTAACAGGGTTATACCTCTATAGTTGTCACACTGGAGCTGGTCACCTTTTTTATGTAACGGGCATATCACGCCTTGAGACCATTCACAAGGCATGGTCTCATTATGCCAAACAAGAAGTTTGGCATAATGAGACCATGCAGTGTCTGTAGTAGGGCATCGCCACCATTCTTGTAGAGCTCACTGCAAATTTGATCAACTCCTGGTGATTTATTATTTTTAAGCTTTTTAATGGCTTGGGCAACGTTTCCGATGGTAGGTGGTCTTTCATTTGGGTTGAAAGGATTCCAATCATTTCGATTTGCTAGGGTGTTATCTGCTTCTTCAATATGATGGCCATTAAATTTTGCATCGAAAAATTCAACCCATCTGTTTAGGATTGAGGCCGTATCATTTAGGATGTTTCCTTCTACATCCTTACAGCTCCTTATTCTTGGGTTAAACTCTTTGCGCATTTTGTTTAGATTTCTGTAGAACTTATATGGTTATGGTAAAATAAAATTTGCATATAAATCCACATGATATAGTAATATTATTTTTTTGTGTTTTATTATTACTTTAAAACTTAACAATTTATAAATAAATTATTATTATTAACGTCGACGTATATGGTTTATACACAGTTTATGGTATCTAAATGTCAGATAACGTACAAACATGCCGCTCTAAACTACGGTAAAAGTTTTGTCTTACATGTGAAACTGTATAGGTAATTATAATCTGTAAATAAAACATTAATATAATAAATATTTAATAGAAAAATATAGATGAGCGAAAACCAGCTGGATCTTTCTGGCGTAAAAGGAAACAAGAATAACAGGAAAGATAAAATAAAATTTTGAAAGGTATACCCAAAATGACAGCATTTTTTACAATGCATGGAAATCAAGAAGACGATACTACAAATATTTCCCAATACGGTCTTAATTCTAGTACTACTAGTGAAAAATATATTCATATTCGACCACATGAACCTATTTTGGAGACTTCAGAATCACTGCCAGAGCACTTAGTATCACCTGTTTCAAAAGTATTAGATGATGATTATGGGGATGGATTAAGAAATGAACAGGGGCAAATCATTGAGGATAGAGTTCAAATTATGAACACGATAGAGAGTTTTTACAGACAACTATGAACAGCAATGTAACCGGAGTGGATCATTACCAAAGATAATCAATCAGGGATCTGAAATTTTACCGGACGTAACACCCAATGAAGTTCGAAGGTCAGTGCAAGAAATGAAAAACAATAAGTCCCCCGGAGGCGATGAAATAGTGGCAGATGCCTTGAAAGTGGATGGAAAAAGATTATGGTAGGTCATTGCCAAACTATTCACTAGATGTTTGCAGGAAAAAATAACACCAACCCAGTGGTACAACGCAGAAATTATCATACTTCATAAAAAAGGGGATGCCACGACCTCAGGAATTACAGGCCCATAAGTCTACTTTCACATATTTATAAACTATTTACAAAAATAATTACGAAACGACTAGAAAATAAATTGGAATTTTATCAGCCCATAGAACAGGCGGGTTTTAGAAAAGGCTATGGAACAAACGATCACCTACTGGTAATAAAAAATCTTATAGAAAAATGCACTGAATATAATAAACTACTAGCTTTAATATTTGTCGACTATGAAAAGGCATTCGACACCGTAAATCAACAAAAAATGTTGGAAGCCTTGACAGAATGCCAGATTGACTATCGGTATATAAATATAATTAAACACATATACCAAAACGCAACAGCCAGTGTTAGAGTGGGTGATCGTCAAACCCAGAAATTCCCGATACAACGTGGAGTACGCCAGGGGGACACCATATCGCCGAAACTGTTCACTACGCTTTTGGAATATATATGTAAAAGGGAAAACTGACCGACAAGGGCATAAACATAAACGGAGAAAAGCTTAGCCATCTGTTTGCAGATGATATTGTACTAATAGCTGATAGGATAGAGGAGACCAAAGAACTTTTAAATCAGCTCTACCTTTTCTCGCTAGAAGGGGGATTGAAAATAAATATATCTAAAACCCAGATGATGACAAATCTTATAGTCATCGAAGATATATGCGTAGGAACAAGATCCATAGACCAGGTAATGGCCTATAAATACCTAGATCATGAGATCCGCATAGGAAAAGATAACCAAACCGTTGAGATTCTACGTCGTATAAGACTGACTTGGGCAGCCTTCGGCAAGCTGAACCATATTTTCAAATCGTCTGATATACCAATATGTCTTAAAAGAAAATCCTTTAATCAGTGTGTTTGCCAGTGTTGACTTGCGGTGCGGAAACGTTGACCATGACAAGGAGAACAGTTCAAAAGATTCGTGTGTGTCAAAGGGCGATGAAGTTTAGGCTATGTTAGGCGTTTCACTACGAGACAAGATCCCACATCGCCAGCTACGACAAAGAACAGAAGTGGCTGATGCAGTAGAGAGAGTAGCAACATTGAAATGGAACTGGGCAGGTCACGTGGCTCTAATGACAGATAACAGATGGACAAAGCGGATACTGGAATGGAGACCAAGAGATGATGCCTACCGAAGCAGAGGTCGTCCACCAACACGTTGGACTGACGATCTAAAACGTTGTCATAGGAATTGAATGCAAAAGGCACAAGATCGGAATAGACGGAAAATTATGAGGGAGATCTATGTCCAGCAGTGGGGTCAGCAACGAGGCCAAAATGCAAAAGATAACGTTGTATTTACAAATGGTAACTAAACCAGGACAATGACAAATATTTTTTTTCTTTTCAGATCCAAAACAGGATTTACTTAATTTTAAAGATCCAGCACATTGGCAAGATGGCCATAATTATGCAGAAATGACGTAAAATCTTACAGATATGGACTTTTCAAAGTGGAAAAGAAATTTTGGCGAACAAAAGAGGTATGCCAGTAAGCAAATATTTTTATAAAAAACTGGTTAATGGAAAAGTTGTTCGCCGCGATTGGATAATTTACTCCTAGGGTACTGCCAATATATTTTGTCTTTATTGTGTCATTTGTTGAAAAATAAAAGAACCAATTTAATACAGGATTTTTATTATGGATTAAAAGTAAGCAAAAGATTTGACGAACATGAAAGATGTAATGATCATATAGATCAGTGATTCCCAACCGGGGGGCGATTTGAGATATTCAGGGGGGCGATAGAGCGATGGGGGCGATATGGGGGGCGACAGAGAAAAGAGGGCGATAAGGGGGCGTTTAGCATCCGGAAAACGAGACATGGGTAATTGATAAAAATAAGAAAAGAGAAAAAAATACTTTCGTTCGGATATCCATTGGATAATAAAAAGTAAATATATGTATACCAATGCAGTTAATAATAACACAAACATCTCGTCTAGTCACAGAGAGCTATAAATCATAATATAATTTAATTCTATACATTATCGTTATAGTTATAGATTATAACGAATTCTGCATTTTCCTTTGATCGAGCTTTCGTATTGTACGATCATCTGCACTAAAGAGAAAAGGAGAGAAGTGCGATAAAAATTATGAAAAGTAGGTACGCTCCTGCCGATTTGACTCGAACAAGAAGCTAGCGACCGAGGTTGTCGTCGCTTCAAATGAGGAATCTTTCGTTCCAGAGTTTTGTATTGTGGTATATAAAGTTGTTTTGTTTCAACGTTTCAACTGACAGTCATTGTGTTCAGTGAGTTGTTATTTTAATAAAGATACTGTGATTTATTTGTGAAACTGTTAAGTCTGTCTTTTAATACGGACATAACCTTCCTACAAGGTATCATTATTAATAGCAAAAAGTGCAAAGCCGCACACAATTGGAGAAGAACTCATCCTCCCAACTGTCAAAGAGATAGTTGATACTATATTGAGACCCAGTCAGACCAGCCAAGTAACAGGTGCAGTTCCTCTCAGCAATAATACTGTCTCCAGAAGGATTGATGAAATGGGAGCGAATGTCGAAGATGTTCTATGCAACAAATTGAAAAGCAGAGAGTTTACTGTGCAACTTGACGAGAGTGACTACACAACTTTGCTGCTGTCATATGTCCGATTCATTGACGACAACGGAGAAATGGCCGAGGAAATGCTGTTTGTTAGAAGTCTAATTATTGATATAAACGGATCTTACATATTTGAGGTCGTTAAGAGATTTTTTGAGGAAAAAGAGATTCCCTTATCAAATTTGATCGCCTGTGCTATTGACGGTGCAGCAGCAATGACAGGATGCCATCGGGGATTTATTGCACATGTATTGCAATTGCTTATGGCGGATCTTCAGTCTCATGGATACTGTTATTGACTTTCTTAATACTACTGAACCCACACTGAGTACAGAACTACAAGAAAAGCGAAGTGGCATCGCTTACTTATCAGATATGTTTCAAAAATTAAATGAAATAAACCTGCAACTACAGGGGAAGAACATAAATATGGCCAAAGTGAAGGGAGTAGTCGGAGCATTCATTGACAAACTATCTATTTTTGAAGAAAATATGCAGAGAAGAAATCTGACCAAATTCCCCAACTTGAAATCTTCTAGTGGTAATTCTGAGGATCTTCAAGCATACTGCCTCCAACTTCAAACACTAAAAGAAGATCTGCGGTCTCGATTCCAAGATTTGACTAGTCTGAAAGTGCCAACTTGATTTATCAATCCTTTCAGCGTGGAAGTTTCAACGGTATGTTCTTCTCTTCAAGAAAACTTGATTGATTTGAAACATGATGTTGAAATTGAAAGTTTGTTTCGGGAGTGTGGGTATGAAAGCTTTTGGCCGCGGATAAAAGAAGTGTTGAAAAGGGGGATTTGAGGTTGTTATTAAGCAACATTAAGCCAGACAAAAAGAACTTATGTAAGGGACATCAGGCCCAAGGAAGCCATTAACAATTCTTTTATACACATATAACCATTTATTATTTTACGAAATGTATAAAATAGAATAAAAAAATATGGATACTTACCTTTTGTATAGATTCGTTATTTGTTTCAATTTAATTCGGTCAGGGGGAGGGCGATTATAGTATTCATAACTAGTGAAACCTGTCTAAGAGGGCGATCATGAGAAAAGGTTGGGAACCACTGATATAGATAATCTGAAAATTTATACGACTCTACGACTGGCTTCTTAAAGCAAGGAAGAGTTTATGTATAACTCGAAATGGAAATTAGCACTGCGAAAGAATATTTTCTTTAAATACTAGAAAGAATCATAAGTGTAACAAAGTTTCTGGCTGCCAGGGAATTGGCCTTTAGAGGTATTCATGAAGGAATTGACAAAAAAACGGAATGGAAACTACTTTTGCTGGAACTATTGTCTGAATATGATCCATTTAATATTAATATGATCCATATTAATAAACAAGCAAATTTTGGTAAGGGCACAACGTCATAACTATAAAAAGATATATGTCACGAATTACTGAATATTTTATCCAATCGAGTCATTGATGAAATTGTTAGGCAAATTAAGACAAACTAACTAATACTATTCTATAAGTGTAGATTCAACACCTGACATAACACACCACCACAGTGTGCTGCCCACTTTTTAAATTTGGTTATCCAAAATACAGCAGATTCTTGTTTGGGAGCAACATCTTTTTTATGTTGGTACAAGCTATCTACAATTTTTTCTCCGTGTCTACATACAGGTGGGAGTTATTGTCTCGTACAATAAAGGATTCGCCTGAGTCGGGGCAGACACTGTTACCTAAAAGAGTGAATTTAAAAAAAAATGAACAAATAAATATTAGTATTTGTTTTATGCGCCCATAACTTCATAATTGTCTAAATATTGATCATTTCTTAAATCTCCAAAAAGTGTATGAAATAAACCTGCTCCTTCTCTTCTTCCCTTGATGGGATGCGCCCAATGAAGGCGATTACGACTCTGTATTTTTTTACAGCGATAAACTAACCATAACATCAAAATTTTTTCCCGATTCATTTTGTACGCCCTCTCTGCGACAATAAGATGAATACTGCCATAACCTGCGAAAGCAAGATGAGTGATGAGTACGACAAACGGTCGTGCGACCTCTTGCCGTGACGACCAAAGTCGTATTGTGTGAAAGGAGTGTAAGAAAGAACTAATTTTCTTTAAATATATTATAATCCTTACTTTTGTAACCGTGTCCATGGCCTCTGTTACTGAAACACGTTAATTTAAATAAATTAAAACTTTCATAGAAATTCATTTTAAATTTATTAATTGCTTTTAAGTTTTATTGGCTTTGGTATTTTACACAGTAAAATTGAAGAGCTTATTGCAACATAATGGTAAGCCACAATGTTACAGAATTATATTTTATTGCACTATGATATATACATATATATAAAGAAACCTGTATTAACCTACAGAAAAATTATTGAGTGATTATTGCAGTAGATGGCCGGGTTATTGCAGAATCGTGTTATTCCAATTGCCCGTTTCTATTCACTTTTTCTCGTAAAACGTGGTAAGCAACATGAAAATGGCGCCGACTTGACGTACACGTGCTGAATTAAGTGCAGTTTTAAGCGAAAATAGCAGTTTAAATGTGTTTTATTGACGATAGAGTAGCAGACAAAGACTATTGACTCTAGCGATCATTTTTCGTCTAAATCTGGTGAGGTGAAATCTTTCATTTTTTCTTTTTGCTTACCATGTTTTTGTAAAAATATAATTCATTTATATTATATGGAAAAATATGGTATGTCATGCGGCTTATCGAGTTATTAGTATAAACATTGTGGAATATTCATAAATTCTAGAGTCTAATACAGTCATGTTTTTTGTATTCTAGGATTAATTGCAGGAAGCCATAGATATGGTTTCTGGAGGTAACGAGGTAAATCCAGAGAAGAGAAATCATCCAGATGGAGACATAGAAATGAGGAAAACTATTATCGAAATGAAAGAAAAAGAAGCCATAAGTTGGGACAAGAGTATGCCTTGAAAAAAACAAGGACAATTTTTAGTTCACGTGAAATTGGCGAGCCGTGTAGTTGTAAATAAACCCAATGCCAATACACTTTCAGACGAACAGATTTTCAGTCAGTAAAAGCTCATAATAAATCTATTCCTAAATACCAAAGTTACTACAGCAGAACCAAAAATATAAAGAAGGAATATCTGAACTGCGATATGACAATTACAGACTGTATACAGATTTTTATGTGTCCTGGTGTAGAGAACTGAATATTACGCCAGTTAAAGAAAGTGCATAAAGAAAAATATTTTGTACTGAATATAACATAGCGTTTAAACTACCTCGATCTGATACTTGCATGACTTGTGATGAGACGATGAGACAGCAAAAGACGCTAATAATACAGATCAAGAAAAAGAGTAACTACTTTATTGAAGTTACACATAGCTCATGCTGATGCAATGCAAACTTTGCTAAAAACTTTTTTTTTTTTTATTATAATTATGTTTATTAACAATCTACATCAAAAAAAGAGTATT